ACATGACACATCGACTAGCCATGCTGACATTAACAGGTAGCGGCTTGGCTTCAGTCTTAGGCCGGAGCACTTTCTGCTGGTCATCGGCAGCTGGCTCAGAGGGTTCATCTGTTCTTGCAAGCTTCCTCATCAATGCATCCCTACTGTAGTTGTTGAAGTTCACACCGGCAACATCCGTGTCATCCAGAGCACTTGCACCGGCCCCCTTTTCTGAATCCCGGCCTCCAGCACGGTCGAAGTTGTTTGTGCCGCCAGCTTGAACACCACGTCCACCGTGACCCGAAAACAGCGAGCCCTGGAAGTTATGTTGGTTTGCACCTTGGCCCTGCATGCGTTGTGCGTTCGAATCAGGGGTGAACTTATCGTTGCCAAGGCCAACGCGGATGGCTCGACCAGCAAGATCAAAGCCATTCATCTTCTCGAGGGCTTCGCGAGCCTGATTGGGGTCACGGAACCTGAGTAGTAGAAGGATTAGCAAGCCGGTTTTTCAAATCGTTCGGGGTCACTTACTGCACGAAACCATAACCTCGGCTCCTACCAGTCTCGTCCTTCTGCAACTGAACGAACTCGAGTTCACCAAACGGCTCAAAGACATTCTGGAGGTCACTTTCAGTGATACTGAAATGGATATTACCCACGTACAACCTGTGAAAGGGGGCGGCGTGGTTGTTGCTACTGCTGGCTTCGGGGTTGCGAGCCTGACGGTTCTTTTCCGCTTCAGTCAACTGGGCGATGATCGGAATTCCTAAAAGTTTCTGTCCTGTAAGCTGAATAGCAGGCGCAACGGAGTCTTCGTTCTTGAACTCGACATAACCGACACTATTAGGGCGTGGGGGTTAGCATCTTGCCTAGTGCGCACAAAGCCTGAGGCATGACTTCTTACCCTTTGGACCGCCCACTAACACGATCCTTGACAATCTGGGCCTCCTTGACAGGACCAACCTTCTCAAAAAAGGCGATAAGTTCTTTCGTCCTCAGTCGAGCGGCAAGCTGCTGCACAAAAATAGTGCGTCTATCACGTTCATCTTCGTTCAGTTCGGGCGTACGCTCACGGCTTCTCGCGCTGGGGCTGCGTCTGCGGCCACCCTCTCGCTCGCGGCGTGAAGGCCGTCTGTCCTCGTCCCGGTCGTCATGACGGGAGCGGCCAGAGGGACGGTAGTACCGATCATCATAAGGGGATCTCGACCGGGTGCGAGCCCGACCGCCACCGCGGTAGAAATCGCCACCGGAGGAGCGGTAATCATCGCCGTGACGGTCCCGGTCACGGCGAGAGCGACGGCGGTCACTGTCCCGGCTCTTGCTCCTCTTTCTGCTTCTATGGCTTCCGTTAGCACTGCCATGTTCGCTTCTCGGGCTCTTCATTTCTTCGTCTCCGTCTCCATCGCGCGACCGACGTCGGTCGCCGCCGCGGCTGCGGTCCCGCCGCTTGCGATCCTTGTTCTCACGCGAGCGGTCGCGGTCGCGGCGCTCATTGCTCTCGCCCTTGGTGGAGCGGTCATCGTGGTCCTGGGAACGGGGGGGTTGTTCTTGCGGCGTCGGGGCAGCCGTAGACTCGAGGAGAGCTTCAACGTCAAGGCCTGACATCTTTTTTGAAGGTTTGGAATTTCTGGCTTTCCCGCGAATGTGTTTTTCCTGGGTGTGATCTGATAGAAAACGGCTTGGGAAGAGTGGAAGACCGTGCGGAAAGGATTGAGGTCACTTTCGACTTTCGTTAGATGCGCGACAGGTGTACCGGCCGTGGCTTGAGCGAACCCTTCTATTTGTATCCACAAATCCTTGCAGATGAGATCTGCTTCAAGTGCGACAAAACTTCAGTCGATTATGAGCCACTCAGGTTGTAGCTCGCAGAAAAGCAGTACGATCGGGGTTGCGATGTCGATGGTGATGATGATAAGGTTGAGAGGCAAAGACACCCATTGGTATTCCGCTGGCTGATGTCGGCCAGTCACGTGAGACTTGGCAATCGCCGCCCGTTTTGACTTTTACTTTTTTTGTGTTAGGAGTGAGCCATGGATGACATGAAAGAGACATTTTATAGTCTACTGTATGTCCGTGAAAAGTAGCAAAGAATGTCCCTAACGTGCTTAAAGCCTATTTGGGCTGAATTTATAAAATGAGAATTGAAGAGGAATATTATGTATTAGGTTATCATATACAATCGTAGAAAATCTATGTAATAATACCACCGCCTATCGACCTACGAGTCATGGTCATTCGCCTTACAAAAGACGTTTTCCATTGCTCTGGTCCATGGCAATCCTGTACACGAAGGAAATGACGAAGAATCAAAAAGTGAAGCAACTCCTGAGCACAGCGACATTAGGGACAACACACGACCACGGCATTACTTCGTATGTCACAGAATCAATGAGAGGCGCAATAGGCTCATGTCAACGCCCATGAAGAGGGCCAGCCACTCTAGAGTATACCATTGGCTTATTCACTGTGCCTTCGCACCCTTGGGGGCGGGAGTCTCCAGCTCCGTGCCAAACACCTGATCCCAGAAGCGGCTGGTGACACCAAAGCCATTGTCAAAGTCTGCGAAGTGGTGCTGAAGGTGATACTTCTTAAGTTGCTTGTAGTACATGGGAAGACTAAGGAAATGAACGATCAGCGAAACAGTCCAAGTCACAAAAGGAGGTCGGTCTACTCACTTGCGGTGATGAAGGAAATAGTGGGTCATGTCGTAGCAGATGTAGCCGAAAATACCGCCACAGTACACTGTCAAAGCAGCGTACCAATTGTAGAAGAAAACAGCATGAGCAAGCTTCCAGAATGGCGTTGCCAGTACAACAAAAAGAGTTGGGGGCATGACTAAGCGATACTTGTCCATCGGCAAGTAGTGATGGATACCGTGGAGCAAGAAGTGGAGAGTCAGCCCAACACGATTATCGGGAAGATAGCTGCATGAATTAGCGGGGATGTACAGATATAAAGCGTGTGCTAACTGGGATAGACATACTGATCGATGTGGAACAGGAATCGATGCATCAGATACTCGATTAGAGTCCAGAGGAAGAGCCCACCGACCCAGTAACCAGCGGCAGCAGGCGCATTCGCAAGCCCGGAAAATCCAACGAAGGTACCGTAGGCGACAGGAGGGAGCCACATGATAGGGACGACATACCATGCCGTCTTGCTGAGTGGCTCCAGGAAATTGCCGAACAAGGGCGCAGACTCCCCTCCCTTGTAGTGACGCGGGCGGTGAATCTGTTCAAGATAGAACTCTTTGCTGAAGCCACTGAACCACAGCTGTTTCAGAAGGGGCTGGTTGAGGTCGAGGAACTTGTGCGTCTGGAAGTCTTGGGTGTAATCGGTATCAACGGACAGGTCTTCTTCACAGGACATCCCAGTCGTGGCATAGACTGCTCCAGAACCATTCGCCACTTGCTGTGTTTGTGATGCATCAACCGTTCGGGCCTTCCCATTGAATTCAGAAGCCACGAAGCCGATATGGCACTCCTCCAGTATTTCATAAGCAGAGTCGGAGTGGACGTGGGATGACTCGTCGCGCAAGATATCAGTTACGTCTTTGCCGGCATACTCCAGGACGAGGTCCTCACCCCCGGGGTGACCGTCGACAAACTCAGTGACATCGTAGACTTTGGATCCCAACGTCACATAGCATGACTTGGCGTTGTTATGGAGTTCGATCTCGGCCGGGGTGAACACGGGGAGTACTTTTCCAGGCATGGCGGATGTACAGCTAGCTAGATACCCGAAGGGACTGAGGCAAAGATGCTGCAAGTGGGCGAAGAAGGGTGACCACAGACACTGCAAATGCGACGAACGCCGTTGGACGAGTAGCGGGGGATTGCGGTGGGAACCGATAATAAAAGGATGGTGAAGTGAGTGGCGTGAGCGTCGAAATATCGACCACGGCGACGGGTCCGAGACTCCGGGGGAGAAAAAATTCCTGAAGGTGAGTCCGCTGGCAAGTGCGTCGACAACCACGCAATCACCAAAGCTATACAACACCGGAACCGTATTGCAACGGAGTAGAGAAAGACGGGATTTGTAAAGAAAGGTACTGGCTCTCGTTTCTTTCACAGGGTATGAGATTAGGGAGATTCCAGCGCTCGCCGGCAGACCCAAATCAAAGTCGGGAACAATAATGCAGGGTGGCACTAATCTTCTTCGGGCGCTGCCCCTGAATTGTGCCCTGCTCTATGCCTGATTTTTTTGCCTGAGGCAGCAACAACAAGCCAGCATCAGCCAGCATCAGCCAGCGGGCCGTCTCAGCCGTCGACTGCCGTCTACAGTACTGTACAGTACATACAGTACATACTCGAGTAGCAGCTGGCCTGAAAGTGTGCATGTTGCGGAGAGCAAAAGATGATGTTCATTGTTCAATGTTTAAAGTCTCCTAGTGGTCCCGCCACTCAAATAATAGTACTACGAAGCAATGATCTACCTTATTCGGAACAGCATCGGAAGCTAAGTTTACATCCAGGCGAACGGTATGAATGACCTGGAGCTAATGGTGTTAATTTAGGACCGTTAGACTGATCCTATAGCTTATCGGATACGGTGCGGTGCGGTGCGGTGCGATCGCAAAAGTAGAGCACAGCACATTACATGTTCCGATGGAGGCCAGAGCACAACAAGCGACTGCTCGAGCTGTATAGCGTAACCCAATCTGTGGAAGATGCGGAATATTGTCCCGCGGGAGGCCGTTTATTTGCTTGATGCAGTGCCAAAGCAAACAGCGAAGTTCACCATCTCGATCCTTACGTCTTGAGGGGGGGGGGGCAAGGGCGCATCCGTGAAATAATCCCGGAAGATGGGCTGATCGACAGCCTCTCCCCTCGCCCCAGTTTGCCGGACCAGTCTCGGCCAGTGTATCCGTAAGCATCAGCTTCCGACCGACGAAAAAAGGACCGTACGAACTAGGCGTCAGAATTATTAGCCTAGTCAACCATCCGATATTGGGGGGGTTCGAAGTTGCCGAGGGACTAGACTATAGAGATTAGAGCGAGCGCATCCTGGTCGCTTTCATGCGTTTGATCTATAAGGCTATGCATGTTTCGTCCAGGAACCTGCACCATGGCCTTGGAAATTGTCAAAGCGTCTGACTGGAATGAGTGAGCGCTCAGACAGATCGAGGACACTAGGACTCATCATAATGAATCCCGGCAATTGATGGATCATGGGGCACTGGGGGCTCTGAGCTCTACCAGGTCCAGGAGCAGGAAGGGCATGACAGGGAATCCTGGATTCCGGGAAAGATGGATCCTGTCCTGTCATGATGGGTTGTTCGTTGACAACATGAACGAGACTCTTTTCTTCCCCGGCTTGTACGGTAGGATCGACCGCCAAGGTGAAGCTAGACGAGGATTGCTCGCAGATGACCGGTTGTCAAGGTAGGGTAGGCCGAGTAAGGTCTGTTCAGTGGATACCAATTTTTCGATCGACTATCATTGTCCTACGGTACTTCTCAAGTAGCCTTCAAGCTCAACCAAGGAAATTGTTGGCGACGAGGCGGGATGTTGAATTCAATCCATTGGAGACCCGGGGACCAAAATGTGTGGGCGATGTGGGATAGAGAGCCTGGAGGGAAATTGCAGGCTCCTCCTAAGGGGAAGGGAAGGGGGCAGCAGCAACAAGCGATGAGTGAAAAAGGTAAAGTAAGCCCAAGAAGAGTTTAGGACTTCTACTGAGTAGACGGGGGAGTCCAGATGCTCAGTACAAGCAAGTATTGGGAGTGGGAGAGAGAATGAGAGATTGAGATTGGATATGGGAAATCGTAGCGACGCATATTTCCACCCAGTCGGATCGCTCGTTCCGACAAAGCGGGTTGGGCCCCCCCAGTGATGATGGGGCAATGCAGGACTCCACTGCACTTTACCGTATGTGCTAGACTACAGCTTGTATGTAGTGAATTGCTAAGTTGAGAATCGGGGTTGCGAAGTCAAAAAGAGGACTTGGACTTCAGAAAAATCAGTCAAGACCTTGATGTGATTGAGTGGTACAGTACTTAACATTGGCAGCATAACTCTGTACGTACAGTACTAGGTGGCCAAACCTAAGAAAGCTTCTCTCCAACCTACTACCATCCGGTACCGGACAGACGGGGAAAGGAAAGGAGCAAAGGACCTACTGTATGAGTACGAGTACTCGGTACGAAGTGGTGACAATCCCCTCATTTCCATTCTTTCTTTCTCCCCTCCATCCTCCACTTTCCCCCTCTCCTCCTCCATTTCATACTCCTTCAGGCCAGTCTTTTGTTCACTCATTTACTCATTTACTCATTTCCTCATTCACCCATTGACCCATTGATCCATTGACCCATTCATGCATACATATTACATAGTACTGTACATCGATACTGTACGGAGTACATGCATTAGATCCATAGCTGCAGCTGAGAGGGATTGTGGCTTCCTGCATAGTCCAGCCTTTAATTTCATCCTGTCTCTTTCATCTTCTTGTTGTACAGTACCTTTGCCTACCGATGCACGGTTGTGTTTCTGTCAACCACCACAACATACCTAGTAATGGTTTGAGATCTGAGCCATTATCCGATCACACCAGTGTAAAAAAAAAA